GCTTTATTAGAGCTAACATGCTGCGGAACGTGCCAGGGCAATCCGACAGGATATATGTAATAAGGATATGCTCCCCATTAACACAACGTCTTTTGAGGCAAATCCTCCGGCAAATAAAAATAAACACATAACACATAAACAGAGGACAAAGAAAGCCGATGAAGCTGGAAAAGACGCCATTTGCCTATGCCTGCCATAATTCATACCCAATAGCCCAAACAACACAAGGATGCACAAGAAAAAATATTTTCATTTTTTTGTCATGCATAATTGAAGTAGTGCTTCATAGCTAATTGAATTTAGTTTTAACAAATGAGATTTTATTTATGTTAAAACTACTTAAGATCTTAATTGATAAAAGTTTCATTGGGTTTTTTAAACATAAATGTTAAGATTGTATGGTTTATGATAAATTGATATAAATATAAATAATATAACCATTTTGGTTACAGTTTTATTTTTTTAATAAGCACCCTGAAGAAATTACATTTTTTGAAATTACTTGATTTTAAGATGTTTTCGAATTGGGATTTAATATATTTACAATTTAAATCATCAGTGCGTTGTATATTAAAAAAACCCCTTTTTTTTAAAAGAAAAATACTTAGTTCGACAGATAGAGAATACTAACTCTTTTACATTTTGGGGACAATATCTTTCAATTTATTCACGTTGTTTACGTTTATAACATTGAAATTATATAAACAAATATATGCTATTAACATTTCAGCTAATTGTTTTAATATTTTTGAAAAGAAAATAATAAATTTCGAAGATGAAACATATTGACAAAGTAATCTTTTTTTTCACGGTGCACCAAAAACGAGAAACACGAAGAGTTTGATAGAACAATTAAATTGAAATTGCTAGGCTCAACACACACGCAGAAAACAACAATGAGACGAACGACAAGAGACGTATCCACAACTCGTTTATGCCACAATAATAATTCGAAGACATTTGTATAAATTTGCAATTGCATTTTATTGGCCTGTCCTGTGCGTTATAATATTTGCATATGTGTGTGCGTTCGGCATACATAATGTGCGTCCTTACGGCTGGTTGCGTATACGCAACGTGGCAAATGGGCAAATCAATGCATTCAGTTCGAAAAATTGACCAAATATTGTTGCTAAGACAAAGGCATTTCGCTTGATCAAACCATTCAATTATATACAGGATACATATTTCGGACACGAATGGTGTTTACATATACATACATATATGTATGATAGCAACTGGACCCAATATTCATTTTAGCCCGATGTTCATTTCTTTTTCCCATTTGGCAGCCACAAATTATCATCAGCTGTCGAGGCTTTAAAGAAAACTGTTGACAATGCAGAGACAGCAGCGGCACCACAACAATTTCATTGACACACTTTTCCCCATTTCTTCTCCAGCGGAAAAACAAGAGAAAATGTTGACTAGCAAAATCGATGGCCTGAAAAAGCCGGGCGAAAATAAAGTAAAATAAAAACCGAAAGCAAAGTCGCAGTAAATCGCCCTCCGCATTTTGCCCATATCCCTCGAATCTGTGGCAGTTGTACGTGTCATTTGGCTGCAGTTTTATTTGCTTGGCCATAATGCAAGTTTATGTTTATGGTCCTGCTCCGGCGGGCTCCTTGCTTTTCTGCTGTCCCAGCTGCAGGAGCCCCTGATTCTGGCCATTGAAGTTAGCTGATCTTGCACTCGACTGAGCGGAAAACACACAAAACACAAAGTTTGGGGAAAAACAATAAATGGGCCAATGGCTGTGCATTTTCGACAGTGAATTTATGTTTACTCTTAAATGCTTTCTTATTTTGGAAAATAAAGGAATTAACTTGATACAAATTCATATAGCTTAAATACTAATAATTAATTTGAACTAAAAATAAATAAAATCTTAAGCTTGAAAAATAATTTAAATTTAATTTGTATTAACTCAATATAAATAAATATATATTATATAAATAATATAACCCCTATACTTTTTAGTTTAATTTCTATACGGAAGCGAACAAACCTGTAATTTTAAAGCCACATAAGCTTTATTTTGATCCTTTTGTGGAATTAATCTTTTTAGAAATATTTTATACCCAATAGCTTAAAATTAATGTAGCAATCGTTTAGTTTCTCTGATCATTTTTATTTTGGGTGTACCCATAGATTAAATTAAAAAAAATTATAATGAAATTTATCCAAAGGTTAAGGCTTAACATTTTAAAATGGGTTACAAAATTCAATAAAAATTTTTGATATATCCTTGACGAAGGTGTAAAATTTTTAGCAGCATACTGGTAGTAAAAGATCGGCTTAGTGTAGACTAGATTGAGCTAATTGCTTGCATGTATTCCAACTTTTCTTAAAATTGCAATGGAATCCTGCCTTAATTATACAAAAATAAACATTTCTCAGCATTTTATTGTTTTTAAGCTGAATTAAGACCCAAGCTAATGCCCTTTCACTTCGGAGAACTCTCTCCCGCTGACCCTAATCGTTGGCACATGACGCCGCAGCGACTTTCACGATGCTGCAAAATGTTCAAAATAGATTTTGCTTGGCATTTTGCAGGCCAGGTCGGAGGTTCAGTAAAATCGGGCTGCTGCTCCTGCCCCGAATCCTCTTGCGAAGTCAGGACCTGGACTTGGGCACGTTTCCCTTGTGCTGCCGAGCAATGAAATGTTCTAATGCCATTTGCAAGTGGAACGGAAGGGAAGACTGTGAGAGAGTGGAGGGTATTTTCACAGGCTGGATGTTGGCTTTTCAGCTTGCAGACAGACGGGCGACATTTTTTTTCGGTACGATATAAAAATGGAAAGTTGGCATAAAAAGTAAACAACAGATGCAGATGGCTTCGTGGACCGGGGGCGGAGTGGCACCGAAGGTAACTAAACGGAAAGCAAAAGCCAATGCTGCAAAAACGAAGGAAAATGCCAGTAACTGCAGCTGGAGGAACGGGGGAAGTCACTAAATCAGGTCAGGGATTTGGTTGGTGAATGCTTCGCTCTGCAGTTTTCCTCTTTTGGTGTTGCTTTGTTTCGTTTTCTTTGGCTTTTGGCTTTCGCCCGTTTTTGTTTTTTTTTTTTGGGCTGCGCTGCGAAAAGTGAAATTGAAATTACGTATACGCCGCGGTGGTTCCGATGCAAGCATTAATTTAATTACAGCCAGCAGACGACAAACAACAAATTGAACTGAAAAGCCGGCCAAATGAGTGCGCCACATATTCAAGTCTCTTTATGCTTTGTGTGTCACTGGAGCAGTCAGTTGGCAGTTGGCAGCTGGCTAAAAAGGGGGGTTGGCTTGGGTTGTCCCGAATGGTTGGGGTATTTGCCCGACAACCGCAAGCTGCATTTTTAATTGCGCACACGTGCGAAGCAGCAGCCCCAGGAAAACTGAAGCAGCAAAGGCGGGGCTGAGGGGAGCAGCTGGGAAAGCCACCCGGAGGATGCGGCAGCTCTACTTGAACTCATTCGGCGTGGAAATTATGGCACGCTCAAGTTGATTTTGACAGGCAGCAGGCGCAAGTATTCCCCAGCACACAACTGAAACTCAAACTCAAACTCACACACACACAGACACACACACTGCCATACGCATCCTTGAATCCTGGAAAAGTTTTGCGAAAATGTTCGGCACGTTCGGCGGCCCCTGCCTAGATCGCCTAGATGCACAGCAAAAATGTTGAGTATTTTTGGATGGTTTTTAATAAAAAAAATTTTTTTTTTTTTCGTTCTTGAGACAGTTCAAGCTTGAAGTTTTTTGGACAAATAAATGTTAAATGTTAATGTTAATGTTTGTATCTAAAATAGTTATGACATTTTGTGATCTTCTAAAAAAATTGTAGTTCCTAACATATTTTTTTCGCTATGAATTAAAACATGTTATTTATTAACCAATTATTATTCTTCCAATGTTGACCATATTATAAGTTTTAATAGCAACAATATATATGTTTTCCTATTGGGTTTTTTTTTTTTTCAAATTTGTACATATAAAAATGTATTTTTTAACGTGTGGCAATAAGTGTCTAACTTGAAAATGGCAGAGCTGGCTGCTACCCCTGGGCAGGGTTTTAATTGATATGCAATAAACATTGGCTACCGAACGGGAGACAGGCAGTCGAATCGTGGAGGAGCTGGATGTTTGACTGACAGGCAAAAGCTGCACAACTCCGACAAGTAAATCCGGGCAGGACTCTAATTTTGCCCGCACTTGCCACTTTCTCAGCTTCTGTTTTGTTTCCTTTCCGACGCTCCCGCTTCCGCTCTTCCTCCGTTTTTCCCTCCGCTTTTCCTTTTCCCCTCGCCTGTCAAGCATTCAAGTTTAATGCGCTTAGTTGCTCTGACTTCATCTGCGTCTCTGTGTCTATTTCTGTTTCTGTTTCTGGCCAGGCTCTGTACTGCCTTACATTGTTTCCTTGGATGCTCCTCCTGTTGGGCATTGTGTAACGTTTAAGAAAATTGAATTACAATGTATTTTGGTAAATTTAGCAAAAATTGTTGCCTCCTAATTGAGTCTGAGTGGTCGACGCTCAGGACGCTTAAGATGTACGCAATGTTAATTGTCTAACAAGCACATTAGACCATAATTAAATGGCTAGCTTGAGCTGCTCAAACTGCTGATAAAACAGGAAATTGACAACTGTGAAATACTCAGTAACAATGGCTCAGTAATCAGCTTCTTCTTAAATTCTAAAACTCCTCTCTTAGATTCTATTGAAAATAAGTTGTTTGATTAAATTTACATGGACGAAGCCTTAGGCAAACAAAGACTTTCAATTAAGCTCTTTCGACTTCTCATTTATTATGCATTGACACAGACAGTGCACTCTTAAGTGGAAAGAGAACGAACTGAATTATCGAAGAATCTTAAGTAACAAAACTAAAAATAGACATCCAAATGAAAGTAACTGAAGGCATATAAAGTGCTAGAGTTTTTTTTATGAGAATAATAATTTGTTATACATGTAATAACTAAACTTCTTAATATAAGTTATAATGGGATTATTTACTTACTCATTCTATCAGACGCAACAATGCTGGCTGTTGAATTGGTTGCCTTAATGTATTAGCTTTGGTTGAATTTTATCACGTATACGCCTAGTTGCGCATTGTTGGCTAGCACCAAAATGGAATGGATGAACTTAATACTAATATAATTCACAGTTTAATTTGAAGTTTGCGTTTCGTTTCGCGTTTCGAATGCTGAATTACACACAAACCAGACAAATGGATAAAATGGGAATTTGTTATAACAGACAGGACACGCACACAGTGAGACAAACGCCAGCTGCTGCTGTTTTAGATGTAGTTGTTTTTTTTAGATTTTCCCACGTTAGTCCTAGAAATTTGTCGCTGCTCTTGATTGCCATTTAAATGTGCATATTTAATTTGTTTATTTATCGGATGGAGCAAGACCCCTAAAAGACAAAAGCACACAGCTGAAATGCAATTTGGGTTTTAATTTTAATTTATTTATGGCCATTTATTTAAATTCTACCAAAAATGTTTGCCGGAGACCATTTTTATTTGAACAGCATTTTGCCTTTTGTTGTGATAATTTATGTAAATTATTTTCGAATTTTCCATGCTTGCTCAATGGGGCAATTCGGTATTTCCCTCTGGCTGCCATTTCAATAATTCATTATTGATTGGCAGAAGTTGTGTCGAATGGATAAACTTTGACTGAACTCGGATGAATCGACTCAAATTGAATTCAATTTCAATGATAATTCGTGTTGCTTAACTGTTACATCGACTTATTTAAGCATTGAAATTGAAAAAAAAATTGTACAGGAATAAATAAATATTATCAATTGGGTTAAATCGGAAACGTCTAAGATTTAAGCTCCACAGCCTTCTTTTTTAATCACTTAAACTTGAAGATAGGTAGAACTAAACACAGTTCCTATTTCCTTGAACACGAGTATATATAATCCGCATAATAATTCTTGTAATGTTTTAATCTGCTTTGCGGTAAAGGATTTTTCCGTCCTCTTCCTCTTTGTGATTACTTATGGAATTCTGGTTACTTATGGAATTTTAATAAACGCCTGCTTGTGTAATTTTTGTTTCGCTGCCAGCAATGAGATTAAAACAAAACGGTTGATTTAAATTTTATGACGACAGTTTATTTACAAACCGCTGCGCCAATATCATTATTCCACTAGTTATTAACTTCTCTTGATAGTGATTACGAAAATGCCAATTTAATTATCAGCAAGGTACGAGGTTCTAGACCTTAAATTATCCTTTTCTCCCTGTCAAGCTTTCAAAAACTTTTTTAAGAGGGAAAAATCTGTTTAAGTTTTTTCGTTACAATTAATTTTTCTGTATTACTATAACATTTTGTTTAATAAACTTTGACCAGAAAAAACATTTTAATGATAGTGTTTTTTTTTTAACTTTTTAGCTTTTAGTTTTAACTAAAATCAACAATTTGAAAATAATGCAAAAGGAATTTTTGTGACGATTTTTATTCAAGAAAAATAATGATCTTTATTTTTACAATTTTATAAAATTTGGTTAATTTTTAAAACTTTTATTCTGTCAAATATACCCTCTCTTTTTGACTTTCCAGTATGAAAAGTTTAAATGTCATTGTAATTAAAATAAAAATGTCAGCTTCAATAACTCCCGATTTGTTAAATGAAAATGGCAGTCGGAATAATTATATTATGGCCGGGTTGCGGAATTTCCATTCTTGTTGGCCACGTTTCACTGAACTTAAGCCCAATTTGTGTTGTTTTTTTTTAATTTAAAATAATTAAAATTCCGCATATAAGCCTAGGCGCAAATCCTTTTCGAGATGGCAACCTTTTTCAACCGCAAATATTATAATGTGCCCCTGACCCCCAGTCGATTTTCAAACGTCCTTCTGCCTTCCAAAAATTTAGGGGCACTTGAGCGTTGCTAAGCAAGATTTATGAGGCGCTGGAGGGGGCGTGGCATTGGCATAGCCATAGCCTGTGCACTGGTTATTTATTTTTTTTGGTATTTGCCAAGGTCTTTCGCTTTGTTTGCCATCTTTTGTGGCCTCCGAGAAGTTTTCAACTGGCCTTGCTCTTTTCGGGCAGCCCCAGCCCCCCTGACCATTTGTTCTCATCTACTGGCTGTGGCATTTAAATAATTTAAAACATTTGAACGTTTTGGGGCAATTTGGTTAATGGCCTGTGCCTGCCAAAGGGTTCGAGCTTTGGAGTCCCCAAACGAGCTCGTAAATAACGCCAAGCCAACGATAACGATTGGGCTGTCTCAGCTGCCTAATGTGCCAATTCAGATAAGTCCGGGATTTGGGAAAACAACAGAAAAACTTAGCTTAAAGAGTCCAGTAGCTTTAAGAACTTGTGACGCAGGTCCGTGCAATGCTCTCTTATGTGGCGCACTAGTTCAAGGACTCGTCCAACTCGCTCCAACCCAATTACGCAAAAACTACACAAGCTTACTTTGAAACACATGCCGGTACACAGGGAAAACTTATGATTTGATAGCTTAAAGTTAAATAATAATAATAATAAATAAGAAAATACTATCAATTCTTTTAAGAATTTATTTACTTTGTGAAGCTGAAAAATATATTTGTATTGAGTAAAACTTTATTTAACTTTCATTTTTAAAATATGGGAATTAATAGTGCTAACTTTATAAATTAGTTTTATAGGCATTTAACTTCTTATTAAAAAAATTAATTTTTATTTGGAACAAAAATGATTTTACGGTGATTTTGAAAACTTTTCGTACATTTAATAAAACAGTACGGGTACCTCAATGGCTTTTCCCCCGTGTACGGGCTTATAATAAATGGCATCCAACCTGCCCTGGCAACCTTTAACCCTAAAAATGCGACCCGACCTAGAAATGTGTGTTTGCTCGCTTTCGCTCACCATAGGGGTATCATTTTTTGCACAAAGCTAGCGTGCCATGAATTTTTGTTTATGCTTGCGGGCAGAAGATAAACACTGGCACACTCTCACACACACTCATATACTGTCACATACAGTCACATACAGTCACACACGGGTCGCGTAAAATGTGCCAATGCCAAAGGATAACGTGCGGTGCACATATCCTGACTGACGACTGTCGACTGGCAACGACATAACCACAAGCAGATAGCGCAGCTTATGCAAACGTTCAAGGACATTACTGCACCGATGTGTTGGTGCGAGGCTTTCCAAGGGGCGCCTGCAGGTTATGCAACACTTTTGTGTTTGCCTGCTTCGCCTTTGTGTGTGTTTTTTAGTGTGTGTGTGTGCGTGTGTTTGAGAGTGCCTTTCAGTTGGCCCAAACTCTGCCTTTAATTGCTGGCAATTTGTCAGGCTAATTTGCTAAATTTGACACCTCAGCGAGCGCACACACTTGCAAATTAATGACGTCAAAAATAAAACTCTCTCTCTCTCTCTCTCTTTCTCATTCTCTCTTCGGTCAGCTCGTTATTCGTATTTGTGTTTGCGTGCGAACAGCAGCTGTGTATGTGTGTCTGTGTGTGTGTGTGCGTGCTGTTTTCACTTTCACTTTCATTGATTTTCAAGCATCGCAACAAATGCTGGTCACCATATAGAAACACCACTCACTGGATTTTCCACTGATTACTGGCAAATTTATCACCTTTTTTTCACCGTGCGATTTATTGGCTAACTTTTCGCGGGAAATATTTTTCCGATTTTTTTTTTTATTAACTTTTACTGAACACTTTCTCTGGTTTTGCTCGGTCGCGTGGCTTCGTTGCGTGGCATCATGGTCCGCTGAAAAGGCAGCCCGCAATTGTCAACGTCGTACTGCGCTCGCTGCCAAAACTGAACTGAGCTTCTGCCAAAAGCGTTGCCATGGCCAAAGTAGTAGCAGCAGCAGCAGCAGCAGCAGCAGCAGCATTCCGCTGCTAAAAACTGGCTGTTAAATACTGGTAACAGTTTAGCAGTTGGCGGCGCATGCGCTGTTCCCATTTCAGTTTTCCCTTTTCCGCTTTCCACCCTCCTCCTCCCCCCTTTTACGTCACAGTTCGCATCACACTGTTGCGTCCTGTTTTTCACTCTCTTGGCAGCTTTGTTTACATTCTTTGGCTGCTTGCCTGCTGGGGTATTTTCCTATTTTCGTGCAGGCACCTATAAATAAAGTTACGCATACGCCACGTGGGCCCGAGCGAGGTGAGAAGCCATCAATCGCGAGATTGATTGGGGCTATCTATTTTTAGTGCTAACAGGAATTTTATCCGAAGCATCCATTATTAGCAGGACATTAGTTCAGGCCAATTTGTTTGGTGCGAACTCAATTGAAAATAAGTTTTGCTTATGCTTATATAAATTTAAATTTATTTTCTTCAACAATTTAATCAACTAGTTAATCAATTTAGCCTATTAAGATACATATAGATTATAAACTATACATAAATAGAACATTATCAAAAGTTATTTTTCGGAATTAGTTATATAACCTATAGGCAGCTTGGTTAGAACTTTGGGTATCCAATATTTCTGAGTATCTACACCAGAAGTTTCTTCAGAACCTCAACTTATTAGTCTTCCACGTGTCGGGCAAATTACTTTGTCCAACTCAATTTAAAGGCCACAAATGCCCCAAAGAATAACTCGAGCACGTTTTCTTTTGTCACTATGTGTGTTTTTGGGTTAGCAATTTTCACGCTGATTGGTTTCCAGTCATTTTTCGTTGTTGCCTTCGCCTTTCATTTATTTTGTTCTTTGGCCAAACACAAAAAGTCAACGAGCCAAAGCCAAATGTCAACCACCCCCTCCGCACTTTCGCCCGCATCCGCTCAAGGACCTTCGGAATTTAATAATGAAATAGCCCCGTCCTTGGCCTGCGAACAATTTTCAATTTTCCACTTTCAGCTTTTGGCGTTTGGCCTTCGGGCGAAAATGCGTTTGATAAATTTCCCAACGAAATCGAACTTTATTTATTTATAGCAGGTTTGGACAGGAACTAGCTACGGAGCTGTAGTTACTGTACTGTATCAACTAATCAGTTGCAATAACTAATTAAAAGTTTTCCTGTGCGTATAATTTCATTTCATTGCTAACTTTATTCTGTCGCAATCGATTACACTCGCACCCATTCCTTTCAACCATCAAGTTGGATGTGGGCCATAAATAACAACAAGTTAGGCACTTTCCCTATTTGGGGCGTGGCATGTTGTGTGGGCGTTGTGGCCTAAGTCACTTGGGGCGAAAGTCGAGGAAATGTCTGAGACAAAGTCGAAAGCTAGGGAAGGATGCGAAGGATATTGAGCCGGGGGCTCGGCTGCGATTTTTATCAATGAACGATGGGCGATGAGACAAAGTTATTATGCGAAATCAGTGGGCTGCCTTTCCTTGTTTGTCCTTGCGTGGGAAGATTGTTGCTGCTCTCGATGTGATGTGTGTCATTTCGCCGAGGATATCAGCTGGGGCCCTTAAAAGTGTCCAGTGAGGAAGATTGAATAACCTTAGAGGACGGAAATTAGGACTTTTAGTGAAACCAGAGATTTATAATTTATATAATTGAATTAAGTTATAAAAACTTTTCAAAGCTTTCGGGGAAATTTGTTTATTTTTTAATAGGAAGACTTACTATAAATTAAGTTATCTTTTAAAAATTATTGTCTATTTAATCTATTTTAGATTTTATTTATTAACCCAAAGTAAAATTTAACAATAATATTACTATTTATTTATTATGTAAATGTCCAAGAGCTTCAAGCTACATTTTAAAGATTAAAGATTTTCTATGCCACATTTTTAGTAATCGCTTTCGTATTCGTATTGGAAAATTAAAAAATTTGTGTACATATTCTGAGCGTTGTCAAAGTAAAATATATATATATATTGTAAGTAAAATATATTTGTTTGGAAATATATTTAGCGTCGAAGTAGGTATGAAATTGTTTCTATTCCGGTTTAAGAACAATTTGGCCGTATGGAGAGGGAATATAGGCAATAAAAGGTTGGGCAACCGTTCTCCAGAGCCCTGCCACCGTTAGGCCGAAATCAATTTTAGGATTTTCAAGGGTATGGCAAATTTAGACTGCAAACGAGTCTTTTGTGGCTTGTAAATTCTCCTCCTCCCAGAGTTTTCACATCCCATCTGGCCTGTCTGCCTGCCACTCAGCTGGCGGCCATATCGTCCTCGATTGAGGGCCAATCGAGTGGAGATACTGACAGCGTTCGAACTTTTATGACATCGGCGTCGAGTACCCGGCTAATCATAACCGATAGCGGCCACGGGGCGGATTTTCGAGCATTCAACTATCTATCCGGCAGTTAGCAAGTTTTTTTTTTGGCGGGTGTTGAGCGTTTGCTGCTCATTAGGGCGAAACTGTTGCAAGACTTTTAGCCATGGCCAACTTGCTTTTGGCGGGGATGAGTTAGTGAGTGAGTGTGTGTGTGTGTGTGTGTGTCTGCTTAGCGCACTTACACTTAATTGAATCCTGCGGGAGTGATGGAAGGTTGGGTGGGTGGTTGGTTGGGTGTTGGTTGGGTGTTGGTTGGGTGTTGGTGTGCCCCTGAGGCGTGCGGCATGCCAAAGCGTTTAGCAACCAAATACGCTTTGCTCCCGATTTGCCGCCCGTCTCTCGCTCTCGTAGCTCTTTGTTGTTGCTAGAGCTCACATCCTGCCGCCGGCGCATCCACATGCACATCCTCATAGTCATACTCATACCCAGCCGTATCCTCATCTATACCCTGTGAACCAGGGAAGAAGAAGCCACGGAGCGAGCGAGCGGCTCTAATTCAATTAGCAAGTTCAGCGCCAAAGCAGCAAATGGCTCGTTAAACACGCTTTGTTTTTGTTATCCCGCATCCCCAGTTAAACCTTATTTTAATGTACTTAAAAAATAGTTTTCGTCTTATATAAAAATTTACCATTAATTTAAAATTAGATAATTCACATTTTAAAATTTAATCATTACTAATACAAGTTTTGATTTATTACAGAGTTCTTGATTTGATGAATTTTACTATAATGTATATATCGACAATTTTTGTTGGTTTTTGTTGTTTCCTTAAGTTTTTTAGTCTTAATTTTTAAGTATTGTTTTTTACTTTTTTATTTATTCAAATATTTTTTTAAAGACAGTTTTATTACATTTGTTTTTAATTATGAAATAAACTACAAAACATTAACAGTATTAATGCAGAATGAAACAACCTAAGGGTAAATATTTATACAAAAGAAACCCTAGCACATGTTCTAAAACTAACATTTTTGAGTCAAATTTTCATTCATTCCCTTATTTTTGATGTTTTTATTACTTGCAATTTTTAGTATTTATTTATTTCATTAAGCTTTAAAAAAAGTTGTGTGTAGTTTTCTTTGAGTGTATTCTCTATACATTCAGCATTTGGCTGCGCGTCTCATGGCGTTGGGTTTTGTCCTCCTGCTTAATGCCACTTCACTTGTGTTTGCTCGTTTTTTAAACATGTTTTATTACACTTTTTTCGCTAGCTGGCGCCGTTTTCATGGCACCGGAAGTTGCCACACACACAGAGTTTTAAAGTGTGTGGCAAAATGAGCAATGAACAAATGAGCAAAATGTTATAAATTGCCAAAAGTCCGCTTTAGCGTTGCCTCCCTTCGTTTCCTCAGTTGTTCTTTGTTCTCAGCGGTTTTTTGTTCCCCTGTTTGCTTTGGAGATAATGCAAGGGAAAATCTTGTTCACTCTGGTCACTGACCAAATGTGTGGACTCAACTCCCGTCCCCCGGGATAATTATGAGCTATGTGTGGAATGCTGTAGCCAAAGCCTTACCTACGTTTAATTTATGCACAAATAACCCGAGCAAATTATTCGCTTTGTTCTGCAAATGTTCCTCGAGTGAATTGTGTTTGGTCAGGAAAGCGGTTTGGAAATGTGGGAAAACTTTCGCCAGCGTTTCATCTTCCAGTCCAATATCTATGGAGATTAACAAGCGTGTGGTGTGGCTTCCGTTTTCCGCACTTTTGTCCTTCGTTTCTGACCATAATCGCCTTTTCTTCCCAGTTGCCGCCATATGCCCATCGTTAGCTGGATTTCCCGGCTGTCTGGGTCGCAGGACCAGCAAACTGGATGCCGATTCCCCAATCCGTTTGCCCTTTGCTGGTACTTTTCCCCGAATTTTCCCATTTTGCTTTTCACACATTTAGTTGGGGATTCAGTTTTTGCCTCTTCCAATTTTGTTCCACCACTTTTTTTTTCCCCCAGTAGCTGCTGCAACAAAAGTCCATTATCCTTTTTCGGCGTTATCGGTAATCAATTTCAGTGGACCATCGTAGTAAAAAAAAGTTTTCGCCCTGTAGCAGCGAACCAACAAAAGCGGTAGTTGCAAAAGTACCAACAACAATAACAATTGTTAGTTTTGAAATATGCACGACCCTCACCCACACATCCACCCAGCCACCCACTCACACGCATGGGGCCTAACAAAAGCTTTTGAAGTGCTGTTTGCTGTTGCAGCCGTATTTCCATCACCCGTGCCCACACACAAAAAAAAAAAAAGAAAATGTAGTTTTTCCGTATGTTAAAAAACTATTTTTGCGCCTGTTGGAACACTTAATCATAATGGATTACAGCACGTTTTTTAATGAAAATAAGCAAAAAATAAAGAGTTTATATCTTATTGAACTTTAAACGAAATGTAAAGTTTTTAGCTAAGGAAATATTTAAAATATCAGGAACATATTATTTATTTTAATGACCCAATTTTCTTTGGAGCAAACAAGTCTGAAGTGAAGCTCAATAAAAAATAACTTAGTTTATTAAGCCTAACTGAAATCAGAGTCCTAGAATTCTATGATTGATATTAATTTTATTTAAG